TTAGCTATTCGCACCGTCGGTGCGATTAGCCACTGCGTAAGATGAAAGCGCCAGTAAAGCCAAAGAAAAAAAAAAGTGAAGGTCCAGTTTGATAACAGTTTTAAAATCTGATTAGAAGCTAACTTTAAGTCAGGAAAGTGTCTTAAGTCAGGAAAGTGAAAATAAAAAGTCAAATAAAAATGTTTGTAAGACCAAACTTGGAATAAAAGGTAATATGCATATTTTCCCCATGAGACGCAACAGAAACAAAGAACACAGCATCAGACAAAAGTTGATTTTCATACATTTTCAGAACACAGCAGCAGACAAAAGCATATATCCATATACAATTCGAGACCACATTAGGGAGGGAAAAAAAAAAAAAAAGAAGCGTTTTCATACACAGCTCCGTTCAAAGTAGTAAATAGCAATATCTTAGAACTCACATTGAAGCTTCAGATAAAAGTAGTAAAAATTAGAGTAAATCACCAACGTCGCGAAATAATCAGGTAGTCGTAAATAATAGAATCTTTAGAACCACAAAAATTCCTAGTAGATACTGGGAAAAAAAAAAAAAAAAAAATTGCCCGTGTAGTAATTGCTTTTTTTGTTTGGTGCAACGGTTTTTCAAATTGTTTGGCGGGAATAAATCTGTTTTGGCAACAATGTTATGTGCATATGTTTCAGAAACACAAGTTCGAATTTTGTGATTTTGAAGTTAAGTAGCGATTTGTATAGGGCTATCAAATAAGATATTTTTTTCGGTCATTTTCTTGTATGCTTTACATATATATGAAGTAAGTACCATGATAAATGCTGGTCTTTGACGCACATTTCGTGTATGTAAAAACTGTTTGCTGTTATTTGAATCATAACGGCATGTTCGAATTTGATGATGGAATTTTTTTAAATATTACTATTCCCAATATAAGAAGTAGATTTTTTCTCTCTGAGTACTTCATTTTGAATGCAATTCTTATGGTTTTTATCATGTATAATTACAGTCTGTAAATTTATTTTAATAATATTATGTAACATTTATATACTGTAATGATAGTTTAGGTTATTACCATATTTTGATTCTGATCATAGCTGTCTGTGGGTAAGTATATTTTGCGTATTTCAGTGTTATAACTTTTGACTTTGATTTGTATTTTATTAGTTTACTTTTTGTAATTTAGTACGTAAAATCATATTATTGTGATTCATATGTGTCTTGTGTGCTTTTCAACTTAAGTGAAGTAAAATCAATCAAGTAAAATTATATTTATTATAACTTCTGATATTGTTTATTTTAAGTGTAATGCATCTTATTTTGTATTTGTTGCTTCAAATCTCAGTCTTGTTTATTTAATAATTATTGTAGAGTATTGTTCAATCTGATAAATTCCAAAACCACTATTACTGAGTATCCTCTGTTGTTTGTTTTGCATGTTACAAAATACATTGACTAGGATGTCTGTGTGATAAATTTTAGTTTCATTAAAGATTAACAGATTCTGGATTTTAAAGTCAATTTATGAAGTAAGAAGCATTATTACTTAAATCCTTGGGGGGAGGGGATAATATCGAATTTTATAAAAAAGCTGCTAACAGAGTTTGGCTAATCTTTGGAATATGGTAACAGTTAGTTTGGCGACATTTTGTTAAGGCGATAAAGGTTACTAGTTAGGACCAGTGCCGTAAAGAAGGGTGTGCAAAGAATGCCTTCGCATAAGGGCCCGAAGGCTTAGAGGACCCTTGAATGTCCTGCTAAACTACATTTATATGTTTAAACCTAAAAGAGACGGATTCTTTTATATATATAATAGAATCCGTTTTCTTTTAAATTTCCAGGGGCCCTCTGCATCATATGACACAGGGGGCTCTTGGATGCAGACAAAAAAGAAAAAAAAAAAAAAAACTGATTCAGTGTCATACCAAACTTCGGTGCTACTTTGGTAGACCGGTTGCATGGATTTTTGGCGATTTACGTTGCCACGGTTGTTTAACAATCCGTCAGCCATCTTGAAAAACGCTGTTTTTAAACGCTAATAAAGTTTAGTGATTATTAATTTTTTGTTGAATGGTCGTTTTTTTAAGATGGCAGGCCAGTGTAAAATAATACATTCTATTAAGTATAAAATACTAAGTCATTAAAGTACTTCATATAGCAAGAGAATAAAAACATTGTGCCAAACTTTAATTAGATTAAATATTAACGAAATTGAATATCAAATTAAAACCATCCTTACCCAACATTTAAAAGATTAGAATATTATTAAATTCAAATACTTTAAAATATTTATATACAATATAATGAACATTAAACATATGTGACCAATAATTATCTCAGCAATTTTTGAAAATAGTGTATTAATTTCTTTAACAAAAAATTGAAGTAGACAATTATACAATAAAAGAAAAATATTTACTTGACTTTTTTTTTGAGTATTTAACCTCTTGGCTGATCTTGGATATGGGTAACCGGAGTTTGGCGACATTTTAGAGGCGATAAAGGTTACTACCTAGGACTTTGGTAATATGTGAGAAGTACTCATTTCCTGATTACGCATTATTTTGTGTAGGGATGAGAGATCATGAGATTATTCATGTGAATTAGTGGACGAATTACAGTTCTTTAATCAGCAAGGGGGTAAATTTGAAAAATAATCTGTGTACTATATTTTTTTGTATTAAGCTTCCATTGGTGTGTGGTTGTGAATAGTGTTGATTAATTTTCAGATTGTGCGCCTATGTAAATTGAATTCTAAATTTTTTAATGCGTTTATCTGAATAATATAATAGTTGGAGATTGTGTGAAAGGAAGGATAGTACAGAATTGAATGGCAGTGCAAGAAAATCTGGTGAAAATGGACATTTTTGTGAACAAGTGGTAAGAAGGTGTACGTGGTTTGCTGAAATATTTTGAGTATGGTGAAAATTCTTTAATTTTCTTATTACGTACTGGGTGAATAGACTGCCAGTTTGACTACTGGATTTCGGATTTATAAATTAGCAGTACAGTCAAAGTCGTTAATTCCGGGACTCGTCGGGACTTCGGCGATTCCGGATTTAGATCAATCAGTTTAAATCTGTAAAGATGGCATGGCAGAATTATAACCTTAAATATGAAAACGTATTTTTAATGAAATAAAGAACAATTTATGATCTAAAAGGGTAATCAAATTTACTAACAAAATCGTAATAATTATTTGTTTTACTTTACTTTCTGTCTTTCGCTTCGGAAGCGAATTACAATGACGAGGAATTTGATTTAATCATATCAAAATACGAGTAATCGCGATGAATACTACTTTAGTAAATTATAAGCCAAATAAATAAAAAATCTGCCCTGAAGATAAGATAGTGCTACAGATCACTTCCATTCATGCGCGCCGCGGCGTTAAGATAAACAAATTGGTAAACAAACGGAAAGTTAGTAAATAAAGGATCTGCCTTGATCCTTTTTTGCAGCATCCACTTTTGTTTAATGACTTCTACATACTTTCGCTTTGTAATCCGTCGTCGTAGAATTGAAATTCTTTTGCATAATCGAAAGTTCAAGCTTGCTTTTTATATATGCTCTACAGTCTGCAAAAAATAATAGCCGATCAATCGAGATTACACGCATTGCACATAACTGAATTAGATATTTAGCTTAGCTTATCCGTCCGTTATCTAACGCGCATCGTAAATGTCTTAGCCAGCGGCAGATTTCTACCGAAAGTTTAGCTTTTATTGAGGTCTTATAGATCATTTCGATTGGACATCCGATTAACCTTTTGACTGTAGTACTGCAGCCGTGGACTCTTTCTGTGGGAGTGCATGTGGCCACGTAATGACGATTCAGAAGAATATTCGGTACGTAGTATTTTTTAATCACTTTGAGGATTTAATTTTATGCATTGTTCTAATGTAAGGAGTAAATAAATTAATCTGGTATTTTGGATTGTCTTAGCAATGATTTAGTTAAAGGGTAATTAGGATTGTATCTAATTTTTATTATTAATGTATGTGCTTATTTTTATATTTTTAAGTAGTATTTTTTAATTTAATTTCTTTTTAATTTAATGATCTGAGTTTGTGAGTGCTGTGTTTGTAGGATTTTGGAATACTTTTGAGTAGTATCGGTGAGTATTTTCATGCATTTCGTGAAATTTTTGGTAATTTAATGAGAAATAGCATGTGGGTAGATGGGAAAGTTAAGAGTGTGTGCAATGCCATTTTTGTGCAATTCTAGGATTTTTTTTTTAATTAAAAATAAGTCGAACGTGGTAACTGGTGATGTGTATGTGCTATTCTGAAAAACAGGCAAGGAGTTTGCGATTGTGCACTTTTTCCCTTCCCAATTTTGGCAGTGTATATTTGTCATGATAAGCAGTTTTGTTAACTAACATTTCTAAAAGCATAAGTGTAATTCGGCTAGTTAAGATTGTTGAAAAACTGTTGAGGGTAAATACAAAAGAAAAGAAACATGTCTTGTACTTCGTGCAGACAAAATGGTTGGCGAAAAATAAATAAGGGTTTGCTGTCAGCAGAGTTGGTCGCCAAAAAATCGCAAGTTACCAATAATCCAAAGATCAACCAACCTCTTGGTATTGATAAATCCCACAAAAAAAAAAAAAACACAATCTAAATCAATGATTGAATCGGCTCTTTTAACCATCTTCATCTTCTTTCTCCACATATCTTCGCACTTCATGAAAGCAATTAGCTATGTTTCCTCCAAAAATTTAAAATAAAATTTCCTCTGAACGTTATTAACAATTTTAGAAATAATCTTTGATTATGAAAGACAGGTTGGCCAAAAAAGGCTCAAAGGCATTTTTTTATTCCCATATCCTATAATCTTGTACTTACCAATACCACCATTCATCTATCTTCAAACAAGACATCCATTCATTTGAAATCTGACGCATTCAAGAGATGAATACTGTAATTCCGGAAGAAAGGGCCGCATCAGCGTAAACGCCGCACTCGGAAAAATGGCGGAAAAAATTAAAATACCAGAAACGCCGCAATCGATTAAATTGCGCGGACATCGTTGTGGGCCGTATAGAATGCAAAAACATCAATTCCTTCTATGACTACCAGTTAAGTTTTAATAAGAACTATAACTAATATTTTTATTATCGATGTATTGTTTTTTAAAAGATTTACAAGTCTAATCTTGCGTTCTGTTTGTGTTAAATTATCTCTTCATCTTAAATCTTCTGAAGTTTTAAAAATAGATAAACGCGGATTAATAAATGTAAATTGTCTATTGCCCTCTATCGTAAAACCGAAAAAACTGCCTATATTTCCCTTAGTCAACCGTAGAAACTAAGGCAATCCACCTAGCAATTTTTTTGACTTCCAAATGTTAAGCAACATATAGTCCAACTGCCGTTGCATTCCTCAGAAAACCATTCTACTCCTACTCTCTGAGAAACAATCGAATCGTCCTCTCTTCATTGGCGCCATTTTGGATGTAGACTCTAGTCTTAAACTATCCAACAAGTACTTGTACCCAAATATGGATCTGTATATGCAGAATGCAAAGAAAATCCATCATGCGAAGGGAAAACGTCAGAGTTCCTATTAGGGCAGGTGAGTCGTTCCATTTGAAAAATTGCGAAAAGGCTGTGGGAGAGGATGGTCCTGGAAGATTCATTGATGGAGAAAGAGAATATTCAAACTGATGAGAATGTTGATGAAGGGGAAGAAAGTTATGTTTGAAATCTGTTTAGGGACTAAGGAACGAGGTCCGTTCAAGGGAAAGAATTAACAAATAACGTTCGAAAAGCAATGAGTGGTCTTTTGGGGGAACAGCACGTTATGCACAATGACAAGGCATCCAAACTATGTACAATGACCCTCATGGAATATTTATTTTTAGTGCACCTAAACGTCACATGGGTAGAAAACGCTGCACCCGCTGAAATTTAAGTTTTAAACCGTAACGGCGCGTCGTTTCTTCCGGAAAATTCGGTAATAAAATTTAAATGCCGTGTATCACAAATATTCAGTAACAATCGGAAGCTGATTACAGCACGCTAGAATTAAATTATTTAAAATATTCATATAAATCATTTTTAAAACAAATGCAAAATTAAATTGTATTTTATATTTAACGCATAATAATGTTAAAACATTAGATTAATTTAAAGATATGAATAAACCAATTTTTTAAGTAGGTACGTTTAAAATTATATAAAATATTATAAAACAACAAATTTTATTTTAAATAAAAATGTAAAATTAAATTTATTTAATATTTGAAGCCATAAATAATATTTAAACAAGGAAGTTGCATAATACATGCATTATTTTTAATAAAATGCAACAAGATGGGTTACATAAATAATTATCAGCAAGGTTTACCATATTGTTACTCGCAAGAAAATCGCAAAATCCGTGCGACCCCGTACCACCAAAACTCAACTGAATAGAAGTTGGCGCCGGGCGAAGGGGTCGGTTCGAATCCAGAGATGGAAGAAGGAGTTATATTGTCGGTGCAGCATGGCGGCAGTCTAAATATGTGGCGAGCCGAAAGTCCTCTTGTGTGGTTTGGGCAGAAAGAAGATCTTCGGAACATAAGAATTATAAAATGTTCCAGAAAATATTTCGGCATGAAATCACCGAAGAAGGCAAACTATCATAAAATAGGTGATGAAAGGTCAGACAATATTCCAACCACTCTTAGAGATGTAAAAAATGAAAGATATTCATCCGATTTTGGTCATCCAGAAATTCTTACAAGGAATAAGAAAGGATTTATTTTAAATTTCGGCCTTCTAGGCCAAAAGATATCGATTTTCCCCAAAATAAAGACAGTAGATCATTTTCTTCTGTTCATTATGCAGCGATTAATAACTCCCCAAAATAAAGTTTTAGAGACAGATTTTGCTTTGTTATTCACTTGAACTTAACAAAGACTATTGTGAACCATGCTGGTTAATTTCAAATAAGGGCAGATGTAGTCGACAGGAACACCACGGCAACGTTACCTAAAAAAAAAAAAAAAAAAAGCGCGAGAAAGTTATATCGCAGTGTATTGTAAGAAAATGGGAAGCAAATGATGTTTGCTAAATAGAAAAAATCTGTAAAAGATGAATCAATTTCGTTAGTTAAGAGAGTATCCAGAAACTTTAGTAAAAAGTAACAATGGTTACATACATAGCTAATTTTTTACCTGATGTCAAATTATTGGAGGCCTATGATGTTGTAGAGACATTAGGTGTTTTTTGAAAGCAGGAAAGATCACAAATGAGAAAAGCTCTCGCCGGGACTCGAACCACGAACCTCTCAAATACGCGCTGAGCGTGCTGATCATTACACCACGTAAGCATGCCAAGAAGGCGGGAGAAATGCCTTAACAACGTTATAAAAGTGCTCTCAAGCACTGTTAAATATTTGAATTCTGCTACATAAAATGAGTTAATTAATTGTTTAAGTAGTATTTGTTTGAAAACTAAGCTTTTGGATGAAATTAAAAATTCTCTTTTTTATTTCTTTGTACGAATATCGTGTACAAAGTAATCGTAATCCCCAAAAACTTCGGCTGTCATATTTCAATGGAAATAATCCATTTTGACCGTTTTCGAATCTATCTGGGGCCCGCCAGCGGCCGAGCACTAAAGTTACTAAACACTGATAGTTCGACTCCCCCGAACGGCCAGCTGCATGAGCCTTTGTAGTTTTCCTCATGTGTAACATGTATACGAACCAGTTTCCCTTAAAAAGACCTCCACAAAGGTATCCCTTTTCCTAGAAAGGTGGCCCTCGAGGCTTTGCTGTAATCTCATGAACCAAACCGAATCCATTTTGTGTGTGGGGGGGGGCGTTACATCTGTACGTACAGAATAATCTTTTTTCCCAAACACTTGTATATTCGCATGCACGTATGTATATATGCATCGCCTAACTCAAAAAAGATTAGTCGTAGAGCGTTAAAATTTTGCACATGGGGCTGCTATAATATCCATTTGTGAATTTCTCTTTTTTATTGCAATTGGCAATGTACATCTGCATATACATATCACCCCCTTACCCGGGTCTTTATTTTCAGAATCGTTGGTTGTAGTCATATCTGCCCATTACAGAAGTGTTTTAAATGACGGAAAATATTTTGGCTATGTCAAATTAAAAAAAAAAAAAGGCAAATAACGAAATTTAACTTTTTATTCGGTCTCCCAATTCCTATGCTTATACTCCATAAAACTTGGGAATACTTTTGTTCCATAAAACTTGGGAAAGTTTTGTACTGTTATGAAAAAATAAATTAGAAGTTTGACTCTCATGCGAAAAATGGTAATGTGTAATTAAATTACACACTCCCATCTGTAATTTAATAGGCGATATAAGGAAGTCGTGTGTGTCCATATCAGATTTTTAACTATTAATCCTAATCTTTTAAAAATCATTATCAAAATGTTGGCTCCTGAAAACCTCGATTTTGGGGGGGGGGTAGTACTGTAAATTTATTTAGGGGTACAAGAATTTTTTTTTTGCATAGGGCCCTAGAGTTCTAGTTATGCCACTGGGTAGGACTTTAGCAATAATCTGAGAAGTACACAGTTCGAATCACAGATTATTTTGTCTCAGAAAATGAGAGATCATAGACAGTCATGTAACATTTTCCCAAATTGATCGTGATTTTAGCTATAAGCCTTAGAAACAATTTCCTGTAAAGGCAGAACGCCCACGATTTGTTAGGCTTTTTACAAGAGTAGAAGAATTGGATTTTGTCATTTTCTTTGACTTTAAGTGAAATAAGTGATGGTAATCGATAAAGTCAAGGTGTGTGCAATTCCATTTTTTGGCATCTGGGATTTTTTTTAAGTAAAAGGGCGCGGTAATGTACTGCGTATGTGCAATCTAAAACGCGCGAAGCAGTGGGCGATTCTGCACTTTTCCAATTGGCACTAATCTTCGTAGTGATTAGCACTTGTTCCATAAAGTTCTAGCATAAGCTAATTCAGTGTGGAAAAAATGTTGAGTAAAAAAAAAAAAAAAAAACTTTACTTGAAAAAATGCATCCCCCCCAAAAAATAGAGGTTGCTGTAGAGGTGGTCGCCAAAAAATCGCCATTTCCATAATCCGAAGATTCACCAGAGTTTCTTAACGTAGTTATTATTGCTATATTATTTAGATTATGTGGCAGTTCATTATCTTGCCACTGGTTTAATTTGATGTACATAAATATAGAAAACTAAAATGAATGCATAGGGAAGTGCAATCGCCACGCTAGGCAGTTTTTAAGAATGACAACTCTGTATCCCTGGCACATTGACCTATTTTTCACTTAAAAAATCCCGATTCACAAAATGATTGTGCACTCCCTTGGCTTTATCGATGTACCCATTGAACTATTTTCACTTAAAAAGTCAAAGAAAATTGACAAAAACCCAATTCTTCTTGCTCTTGTAAAAAGCGCCAAACAAACAAGTGGGCGATTCTTCACTTTAGTGGAATGCATTTTTGAAAGCTTTGCTGGTTCGGAAATAAGCAACTAACATTCTAATTAACGTGTATAGCCAAGCCATTTTGCCTTGCTAAACACAGCTGATGGGGGGAAAGTGCAGAATCTCGCACTGCTTGGCGCGTTTTTCAAAATCGCCAACTTGGCGTCCTCTCGCATCTTGTTTCCTAGATTTGCAACTCCTCCAGAAGACGCTACGCCAGGCATGACATTTACAATGGCGAACAGGTAAAATAAATACAAAATAAAAGTGGTTGCAAAATTTTGAAAACTGAAAATCCTTTAAAAACAGCATAATAATTTAAAAAAAGCAAACATGGTTAAGAAAACATAGTAAGCTTCAAAAACTTTAAATTGCTACAAAACCCTGTGAATTAAAATCGTTCACTATAAAAAATCGGAAAGTGCAGAATCACCCATGCTTGAGCGTTTTAAGAATTTTACAAGCTCGGTATCATTGAACATCAACCTACTTAAAAAAACCAGATTGCAAAAAAATGGCATTGCACACTTCTGACTTTTCGTATACATACCATTTCTTTTAAAAAGCAAGAAAATGACAAAAATCCAATTTTTAATCTGTAAAGGCCAAACAACAAGGTAAAATTTTTGAAATGGAAATCCTTTCAATAAACCCTAATAACTTTAAAAACTAAAAATATTTCAAAAACATATAAGTTTAAAGAACACAAAATCCTTACAAACCTGAAAAATTAATACTTCAAAAAATTTTAAATATGAAAGCAATCCTTACAAAAAATAATTTTAAAAATAAAATTGTTTAAAAAGCGTAGAAGTTCAAACACTAAAATCATTACAAAAAATGAAATTAAATACTTTCACTACTGAAAGGGGGTCACCACTCCGCTCAGCCGATGAACGAAAAGTAACAAATTCTCAAAATGTTCTCGAATTATTGTTTAAAATAACTTCACCTCTACCATCTATTATCGTCTACACCATTCAGAAATTCTAAATTTTAAAATACATACTGAGCACGCACAAAAATGCTCCGAATTTCGCGCTCAAAAGAAATTCATAATTTAAAATACATATGCGTGTGCGAAAATGCTCTGAAATTTGCCTTTCAAAACGACAAAATCGACATGGATACCACATTTGGCGCACTTATCAATCTCGTAAAAAGTGCCAAATACAACATGCCAAATAAGTGGGCAATTCTGCACTTTATCCCAGCTCATGCAATAGGCGATAATTTTATTTGTTCTTGCGTATTTTCTTGATACTAAAAATTGGAAGAAATCAGGCTAAATTTTTACCAGCCATTATGGTAGAATTTTGAAAGGAAAGATTTCTGTTTATGTTCTTAGGTAATCAAGAGAGAAGTTACAGATGTAGCATATAGAAGACTGTGCTGTCAAGCTTTGAGAATATCTGACAAATAAACTGATTAAAACTAGTGCTGGTCACTCAAGTGGCAAAAATCCGTAACAGTGTTTAAACATTGGAAAAATTATACTTTTCTTTTTTAAACTTTGCATCGCATAATCCACTTAAATACGAATCTAAGTTGTACTGCAAAATATGTAAGTACCATTTTATTTTTGATATATCATTATAATATAATTAGATATATATATATATCATGTATAGTTTGGAAGTAACTTTATATATTTTCTAATGCAGGGGTCTCCAAACTTTCCAGCCTTAAGGCCATACTGATTACTCGAGTAATTTCCAACGGCCAAAACTATTTTAATTTTCTGGGTATGAAACGTGTAGTATTCTCTATACACTAACTGCCAATAGATGACGCTAGTAATCCTTTTAAAAGGGCAGTATAACAATTCAACATTCTCATTACAAAATAGCTAAGGGCTGTTTAAGTTAGCATTCTATACAGATTTGACAAAACATATGAACGAACTGAATCTGAGATTGCAAGGAGAAAAACAGCTTTCTTTCCGATTTATACACTTATATCAAATTGTTCCTGCAGAAAATAATACTGTTTCAATCACAATTACGTAAAAAAATGTTTCACACATTTTAAAATGTGAAATATCCAGCCACACTGCTGAGATTGAATTTCCCGTAGATTTTGAAATTGAAGCTTTGATTGCTTTGGAGAAAAAATTTTAATACTTGTTTCTCAGACTTTGATGTCACTATGAATGAAATTAAAAATTTTCAAAATCCCTTTCATACTGACACTGAAACCCAAGCCTCAGAACTTCAAATGGAAATTATTGATTTACAGTGCAGTAATATAATTAAGAACAAATATCCAAACCCATGTTTGTTGGAATTTTAAGTCTTTAACTGGTACAGTTTTATAATTTGCATAAATTTACTCGTGGGCTGTTTTGTTTTTGGTACTACAGTAAAATTCCAGAAATCCGCAAAGCTTGGGACCAGAGGTTGTGCGAATTTAGGATTTTGCGGATTTCAGGACAGAAAAGATAAAGCATAATATTCGGACAAAAAGTGCAAAATGAATAAGGCATAATAGATACATTTAATTAAATTATTATATACATTATTGCAATAATTATTATATGCATTAAATTATTATTACATATATAAATTAATTATATTATTCATTGTATTATATGTACACAGCATCGAGATTTGCCGATTTCGCTTCATGCAAAGATTTCTGGTTTCGGATTCCGGTGTTAGAATCGCTGTTGCTATAAAATTTCAACAGATTTTCCTTATTTTTCTGTACATCATACACAATCGCGTCCAATTCCATACCATTCTGTTATAAATTGAGGAGTAGCACCTGCTTCCATCTTTTGCAAAATTTGCTTTTTTTGCATTGTCAATGCAACGTGTTTACATTTTTCAACGTTGCAAGCGGCAAAATCATGAGTGCGTTTATTATCTGTCGTATTAAAAAGGGCTGAAATTAAAAATATTCTTAATTTATCCATGAAATATCCGGATTAAAGAAAAGGGGTACTTTTCCGTTTCGCTGGCGCAAATCTCGCCAAGCAGACTTTATTGGCGACAACATACAGTATATGTAATATTTAATAATTTGTAAATGGTAACATTTAATATTTAGTAACTTGTAATTGGCAACACTTTGGAGATAGATATGAAAATAGAACTATGATGGTATTGCAGTTCTCTGTGATTATACATTCTAAGATTGTAAATAAATAGTTTCTTAAAGCTAAAAGTGTACCCTCATTATACTAAAGTATACACATAAAAAATATTAAAAAAAATGTTAGTTCTAAGAATTCTTTTTTTGAAGGCATAAACATTTTAATATCGCTTAAAATTTTATAAAAAGCCAATAAATAAAGACAATAAATTTGTAAAAAGACATTAATTGAAGAATTTACTATGCTTTCATGGTTCAACATCCTGATTTGCCGGTTTATATCACGTAACCCCAAGCCATCTCATCTCACGTAAACTACTCTACAAAAATCTAATGCTCTCAGTCATTATCTACGTTAATTTCAAGTTAAATCTTAATTTGGAACACAAGTTTAAATGCAAGAAATATTTAAATTCGTACGAATATCTTACTCAGAAATTTTGTAAAACTGCAGTGCTTTACTTCGCTAATGCATTCTCGTTAGAATTGATGAATTTAACCCTTGACTTTACCTTTTCTATATTTTCGGCTTCGGGTAAGCGCTTTGATTGCATCCTAATTGACTTAATTACCGAAAATGGCCTTAGACATAAAACTGAACTATCTGATAAAATTCTATGTAATTATATGCCAGTATTGAAAGAAACAGTCAATCTGATAAGAAAAAGCTGCGACATGTTTTGAAAATGAGGCTTAAAAGGTTACCAGCGAGAATATTCCGTTTGGCATCGGTTGTACCATTATTGGCGACTTTATCGCTTGCGCCGGCAAAACGGAAAAGTACCAGAAAAGGCAGTACTAAACAATCTCGTGAAATGAAATAACAAAGCTCAGAAAATACAACAACGTGAATCGTGAACTTGAACAAAGAGTTTAGTGAATCATCTGCTTTTTTACCTAGATGCAGATTAGAGGAGAAAAAAACTTATCTTATTTGTTTTATTTTATATTTTTTAACTTTTTTATATCAATAATTTGGTATTTCCGTTTTGACTCATTATTATTCGGTACTTTTGACGTCATTATTCGTTAAGTATTTTTTCCTTCAATATTTTGTACTCAATGTTGCGATTTCCGGAAACCATAAACTGAATGTTTATATTCTGAGAGGCAACACGGATTTCAGGTCGGCGGATTTTCGGTATTTGACTGTATTTGTATAAGAAAATATTCTCCAATGTAAAGTACACAAAGAATGTTTACAGATTTAAGTTAACCGATGAGCATTTTAAATCTCTTTTAATGAATGCTATAAATAAAATTAGTCTGCGACTGCAAACTATTGTCAGTGGAAAATTACAATTACGTAAATCTTGTTAGTAATTTTTACAAGTGGACACTTGTCACTAAGTTTTACGTAGCAAGCAAATAAAACTCAGTTATTATTATTCTGTGTTTTTTTTAAATTCAGTTTAATTACAACAATAAGCCATTAGCTGTCGTGGGTCTGATTGACGACACTGGTGGCGTGCAATATTTGGCCCGCAGGCCTTAGTTTGGAGACCCTTGCTCTAATGGTTAATGTTTCCAAAACTCTTGTCAGTCTTTAACATTGTGCTCTGGCAATCCTCAGCAAAGATTTACTTCAGATATGTTTGTGCATGTTAAAATTTTTGATGTCATGAGATGTATGACTTCTGCATTGGATTAACAACAATTTCAATTCTGGTTCTAAGTCTCGAAACCATGTTTGTTTGACAACAATTATTTAAGTGTAGAATCTTTCTTTTTCATCACAAAATCTCCGTTTCAACAACATTGCATAGAGAATGATGGACTCAAAAGAGTTTTACAGTAGATACAAACGTTTCTTTCTTACAAAGCTTCTATCAAAATGTGACATACTGATACTAGTGCAGAGTTGCCAACTCTCCCGACTTAGGCGGGAGACTCCCGATTTTTGACCACTCTCCCGCCAACCCGATTTACAATACATTTCTCCCGACTTTTTCTTATTCTTAAAATTTCTCACGATTTTTATGGAACTTGGCTTAATACTTTGTTATATGAAAAAAAAAAAAAAAAAAAAAAGTGATTCTGGGCGTCTGAAAGCAATTGAATTTTCTCTAGATTATATCTAAAACAAAACTTTGCGAATTAGATAACTTCTGCTTTGTGAGTGAGAGCATATACGTATCCAGAAACGTCGTTCTCCAGTTTTCCAATAAGCATCGAACTCCACTGAGTGTCAGCTGGCATATATTAGCGAATGAGGACAAGGCAAGCTGTTATTTGGATGTTCTTTAATTATTTCGTTCAATTTGTCCCAAGTTGTGTGAGTGCACGTGCCTTTGGGAAATAGTTTTAGAAATTATCATCTTTTGTTATGTCTGCGAGAAAGGTGAAATACTCGTGTACGTTTCAAAAATCGTGCACAGTTAATTTTCCTTCCATTATTTCCTCAAGGAAATGTAATAAATTTGCGATGTGACCGCCTGTCGTTTCGATTTCGCAATGTGGAAGGGGGGATGTTCTCAAACATGTGCGAACACAAAAACATAAGGATAACATGAGTTGCTTTTTAAAAAGACGAAAAATTAAATTTTTCTTCGGAAACAAAGGACCAAAAAGTTATTAATGCAGAATGGGCATCGTGCTCCATTGCGTGTCATCTGGCATATATTAACCAATGAGTACAAAGCAAGCTGTTATTTGGATGTTCTTTAGTTATTTCGGTCATTTTGTATTTATATTATTAAATATTTACTATTATCTTGAAAGGAGTTCTAAAAGGAAGGGAAAATTGAGACATTTTCAACAGCTGCATAACAGCAGTTTACGATTAGAAAACTTGGATGGAGTTATAAAATCAGCTAGGATTTACACCCAGTGGAGTTTAATTGGAAAACTGAAAGATGCTGATGGAATTTTAAAATGTAGTGAATTGTCTAGAATTATGTTGGCCATCTTGACAGTTCCCCATATTAATGCAGAGTGTGAGAGGATTTTTAGTGTTGTTGCGAAAACGAGGACTAAATTTAGATCTAAAATTAGTGATGACACATTAGAAAACATTTATTAGCGAAAGCAGGCCTACGTGGCAATTGCTATGAACAAACTTATGAAGTTTCTTTCTTAAAGAAAGCAAAATCTGCCACTGTTTATAACATTTGTACGAAAACTGATTAAAGTTTTTTTTTTTTTTCATTTTCTTAAACGATGCAAGTAATAAAAATGTTTTTTATGTGTAAGGTATTTTTGTGTTGCTTGCATTTAAGAATTAGTTACTATTTAAAGTTAATTCATTATTAAAAACTATATTTTCATCATTTACAAAGTCTTTTTAACATTGTGAAAAATCTCCTGATTTCTTAAAAAAATCTCCTGATTTTAGAGTGTTATAGGTTGGCAAGTATGCTAGTGAAATTCCTTATGTGCACCTGGCCCCTCCTTCATGAAAGCCGTCAGTAACTGAGCAGAAGAGTGTACTGTGAATTCTTTCTGATCACCACTATTTCATACAGTGCC